CCTTCTTTGATAAGTTTTTGGTAAATAAAGATGTTTGTTGTCTTTATTTTTTGAGTATTCACTGTATTGTATTGAACAATATGGTTATGCGGCCCGCGCTCGTCATTCTCTCAGTTATCTGGCCCGCTGGGAAAAAAGTTTGGTGACCCCTGCCTTAACCGATAAAGGGATTAACCATCACGCTTATAATGTCGCTAAAACTGAAAGTTCTGGACCTTTTCAGTGGTAAAACGGTTTCATTAAGAACTTACAATCTTTTCTGATACCGAAGATTTTGATACTGATGTTTATTGGTATCAATTATCAGAAATGTTTCTTTCTTTCTTTATTTAATTTTTGATATATGAAACTGTTCAAAATTCAGTAACATGATGACCTAAAAGTGTCTTTGTTAACAAAATCAACTTCGCTAGCTTCTCCAATTTGAATATATGTGCTGGTATATGTATTCCTTTAAGTTAATTCTTAGTGTATAAAATTACGATGAAAAGAAGAAATTCAATTGCCCTAAGAAGACAAAATGGCTCGGAAGCTCCTAATTAATGACTATTTGCTCATAGAAAAACAATGTAATTACAATGTGATTTCACACAGATTAAGATTATTGAAGATGTACACAAACAAACGTATCTTAATAATAAATACCTTTCCTGAGTGAGAAAATATTAATTCATTAAAAAGTTTAGAAAATGCAAACGTGTCAAACGTCAAACATGTCACTTCTTAACTATCTCAAGTAGCGCTTTTTTTTGTAGCAAATTCTGCTTCTGTTTGTCTAGTGCTACTAGTTACTTTTAAGTGTACTTACCCATCTGCGCTACTTAATTTAACTATTCTTAGGCAGTGGAAGTAGCTACCTAAGCATTCTTACTAATCAGTACTAGTAACTACAATTTTCCATCTCCCCTAGTTATATAAATCATGCTTTTTCATCTGTACTAATATATATATATATATATAAATCTGGAGTATTTCTAACGAATCAACCTTTTCTTACGTTTTGATGTTTTTATGGCCTTCATCTAGCTGATTATGCACCTTTTAACGAAGTTTTGGCTTTTCTTAGATCGAGCTGCTTATTTAAATATGTTAAACTGGTTTTCTGAATGAGCAAACAAAAATCGCTATATATAAATTACATTATTTTTATCGAGTAATTATTTTATATGCAGAGAGAATGTGTAATTGATGTACAATACAACTGCACCAGTGTCCATATGTTATCATGTATTCCTTAAATGAATAGGTATTTATACATAAGCACCAAAATGACTCATAAGATTATTCAACCTCATAGCTCAGAAATAGCATATACATCTGTATAAAAACAACAACAACAAAGTACTCTTCACAATACTAAAAGCGCCACTAGGTGGCGAAGTAGTAAGAATACCACCTGTTTCGTAGTTTCGACACAGCTGCAATTTACAGGTTGCGGGGACGTACCTTCCTATACACAGTTACTTGTAAAGGTTCTCATCTAAAGGGGAATATACTAACGGTTTTCATACAGTGTTAGAGAAACAGCTAAAGTTATAAAGGTATGTTTATTGTTTATCTTAGTTTCTACCAGTGTTATGTTAGCCTCAGTATTATTGTATAGTGTGCGTTCTCAATATTGCATCTATGTGAATATTTGACGTGAAAACAGTTTTTTTGCTTAAACACTTACCACTCTACTATCTTCAAACTGAAGTGTTCTAATCAGGCAATGGTTATCGTAACAAGAGGGATGGTCTGTTTATTGTACTGTCTTCTTATCGGGTAAATAAATATCTTTACAGATAAAGGAAATATTGAATCATCGATAATAATAAAATTGCCTGTAAGTTATTATTGAAAAAACAATGGCATATAAAAAGCCATTTTATGTCCCGATAATTGGAAAAAAAGTCTCAGGGAGAAAATCGTGTGTGTCAGTTAATCCTACTTTGTATCTGTTGTTCCTAAGGTAGGTCAGTACCTGATTTAGAACCTAGTCGTTTTAACTAGAATTGTCAGATTCTTGGAAGCAGCTAGTGAAACTAGCAAAATATTAATTTGAAGTTTAATCAAATTATATTTGACTGTAATAATCACATAAGGAACGAAAAATGACTTTAAACTCCACTTTATTTCATGACCGATATCTGTTCTGAAACCAACTGTAATAATTACATAAGAAATGACAAGTGACTTTTAACTCCACTGTATTTCATGACCGATATATGTCCTGAAACCAACTGTAGTATTTACGTACAAAAACGACAAATGACTTTAAACCCCATTTTATTTCATGACCGATATCTGTTCTGAAACCAACTGTAATAATTACATAAGAAATGACAAGTGACTTTTAACTCCACTTTATTTCATGACCGATATATGTCCTGAAACCAACTGTAGTACTTACGTACAAAAACGACAAATGACTTTAAACCCCATTTTATTTCATGACCGATACCTGTCTTGAAACCAACTGATAAATGGCTGTAAGTGGTGTCATACATTAACCCTTGTCCTCCCGGTGGCACAGCGGTAAGTCTGCGGACTTATAACGCTAAGAATTAACTGTTGATACTCGTGGTGGGCACAGCACTGATAACACATTGTGCAGCTTTGTGCTTAGCTAAAAACAAACCTTAACTCCCGACAAAGCAGCAGTACGAAATATCAGGCATAAAATAAAAGGTTTTTGATGTTCAAAGACGATACTCGTTTTAGTGTATAGATTATTATAGGTGTATATAATTAATGAGTAATGATTTTGAAGAGGATGTATATGTATATATAACACACATGCGTACACTTCCTCTAGGCGAAACAGTTACCAAACAGGATGATCTCAGACTTCCTGCGACTGTATTTACAAGATATTTCTGGTATAGAAAAACTTGTATAACTATTTTATTCTTCAAATAAAATGGAAACCTTAACCGTCACTATAGCACGATACTTACTGAACGTTACTTTATGCAATGACATTAAGATCTGCAATTTACACAACTCTGTTCTAACGGAATAGTTTTAGAAAGTGAAGAAAGTTAACATGAAAAACGAATGAGTTATAAGTAGTTTATTCAATTTATTTGAACTTATTTATTTAAAAAAAATCATCTTCAATTGCTGTCGACTAAAACTTTACAAAAATACCATGAGTTTTTTTTTTTTTCCAGAACATTATCATTTATAAGTAACTTTTTATTAGGCTACTTCTTATGATTGTGTTTATAATACAGCTTTAAATTTGCTACTTCGTGTCAAACGTGATCGTAGTATTACCAGTAACCCCAAAAAAATATGATTTTATTATTCCTATAACTTAGTTAGAATGTTTGAGGTTATTGGACCTAAATTATGCCGAAATATAAGATTTTTTTTCATTAGCTATAATTTAGGGCCCATTAAAATTGGGGAGAAAAAAAAGAACTACCCATAAAATATTGTACAAATATATAGTTCTATAAATAAACAAACATATAACACAACAAATGGAGTTCTCTGTAAGATGATTTTATTTCGTCTTTTCCTAAGCCTATCAGAAGATTCTTTATGGCTATTAAGATTATTTTATTTCGTCTCTTCCTAAGCCTATCAGAAGATACCTTATGGCTATTAAGATTATTTTATTTCGTCTCTTCCTAAGCCTATCAGAAGATATTTATGGCTATTAAGATTGTTTTATTTCGTCTCTTCCTAAGCCTATCAGAAAATACTTTATGGCTATTAGACTATAACATAACACAGTTTGTGGTCTATTGTGTTAGATTTATGTATATTTCTATAGCATAATAAGTTTTGTGTATTTTTTCTACTACAGCGTGTTTACTTTTTCACGTTTTGTTAGATTACAACATAGTTTCATAAATATATTATAATTTATCTTCGTTTTATATATATATATATATATATACATATATATATTTCCTGCACCACACCGTATTTAGTGTTATACATACATTTCTTTCTCAGATACATTGCGATGATTTTAATATATATTTTTTACGCTACAGTTTGGTTAATTTTCGTCTTTCCTGGAACCCAGCTTGTTTATTTTTTCAGTATGACACCATGGCTTGTATAATTGAATATTAAGGCGGTCGACTCTGAATCTGCGGGTCGAGGGTTCGAATTCCCGTCACCGAACATGCTCGTCCTTTCAGCCTTGGAGGGGGGGCGGGTTATATAGTGACAGTGAATCCCATTATTCATTGGTAAAAGAGTAGCTCAAGAGATAGCAGTGGGTGGTGTTGACTAGCTTCCTTCCTTTTAGTCTATCACTGCTAAATTAAGTTAAGGATGATTAACGCAGATAGCTTTGGGTGAAAGTCGAAATAAGCGAAACCAAAGAAACTAGTTTAACATATTCATTATTCCATATATGTTAGTGTTATGTATTTATTAGGCTAAATCTGATATAGTTTTAAGTTACTGTGCATGGTACATTATATCTGTGGTTCTTAATGTTTAACCAAAAAACATGCATGAACTATATTATGATGATAAGGGAAACATAAATACGGACAACACTCAACGTCATTACAATAACACTAGTTAACTGGTAATGCATTATGCTATTACATATTTTCCTGACTCATTAACAAGTCATAACAATTAGAATTAAAATCCCAATAGCACTTTTTTAAGGCATGCATAGCTCAGTGTATCTTTCAGTTTAATTCAGTTCATTTTTTTTACGTTATATCTTAAAAATTGGGGTACTTTTAAGTGAGAACATTTTTGAAAATTAAAACTACGATTTAAGTCACTTCGTATGTTTATTCTTCAGTTTTAAAATATTTTAAAATCTTGACGGTTAGAAATACATACAGTACCAAATTACATAATTCTCACCAAAAAAATAAATTTTAAGGTTAAGTATTCACTTATATATTGTTAGTTCAAAGCTCATAACCTTTAGAATTTTTATATTTAAAAACTGAACAATACTTTAATATTTATCTTGTGCTTACTGTGTGACTTATGAAGAAAACTTAATTTGGGAACTATATAATTAACTATACATCAATGGGTTCGAAGTTTAATCGTTCTTTATAACCAGACTTTAGTTCTAGATTTCGAACAATACTGAGAGTAATGGCACTTTGTAAGAACGACTTTCAGAGTCCCTCTCTACTCTCGGAACCGCTGCTCTTCTTCCACCGTCGATCGTTCTTATTATGATGGTAATGGCTACGAACTTATTGCCCAACACCACAATTTCCATTGTAATAGGCTTTTGCGACGAGAAACGAGCAAAGTTTTAGACCACATAGCCTGATAAACTTTCCACAGGCTTTTCATTGCACGTGAAGTGGACTTGGAAGATCATAATTAAGCAAATAAAAAGTCAGGTAACTTCATTGGAGATACAGCTCGAAAATTGATAGATACGTGGTCAAAAGTGCTGATTGAGATTACGGTGTTTTTTTTTGTCTTGTTTCTCAGGAAAACAGCGTTGATTTTAATATGTAGCTGTAAGCTTGTGCTCCCCGGTTTCTTTATTTTATTGTTTATTATTTTGTCAAAGGTACCAGAAGATATCCCCAGCCTCATCAGAATGACTTTTAGGGCTGGAAGGTTGAATAAGAGATTGCTCTGGGTTGGCTTGAGGTGTGGTCACAGAAGCTCTGCTGTCCTAAACCTCTGCCGCCCGGATTTTTCCGATTCCATGGAGAACATTGCAGACTCCCTTTTTCGAAAAAATGCCATTTTGGGTCCACATAAATCTCGCTATACGAATATCGTCGTTCTACTAAACTTGTATCTACATAGGTACATCGTTTGTTTTGAGGCTTTAACCCCTTGGCTAAAACAAATCTTTGTATCTAAATGACATACAGTACACCATCGTGTAAATGTGTGATTTGCAAAAGCTTTAGTTTAAAAATACGTGACTAATTGTACGCCGTTGAATTTGAAGCTGTAGTCCCTATTAACGAAATATGTTTTTGTTGTCTTATGATTTAAAAAAAAACGCAAATTTTAAATATTGAATTCATTTTTAATAGAAAGAGTCAGTGAATTATGCAAGTCTACATGTGGATAGTTTCGTTGTGACGTTTTGGGCAACACTATAAGTAAATGAAGCTGGTTTAGCCTCTTTTTTTAGTGTACTTTTCTCTATAGGCTATGTATCTGCAGATACGACTACAAAAGAATGAAAACGTAATAGCGCAGGATGAAAAATAAAGCAGACGTGACTATTCACGAAACGTTTACATTAAATGAGCATTATTCTTCTTTTACTAACTTTCCATTTTTCTAGATCTATTAACACGCATAACGGAGTTGAAATTTTCGCGAAAAATAGTTGCCTGCATTTCGCCTAAGTGTTAAACGTGCAAATAATACAAACTTGAAAATATTTAGGAGTATGAATGAATGGATAGATCTGTTCTAGGTCTATGGTTAGATACTTGTGTGCAAGAAAGAGTTATACGTTGAGTACGTGAATGACTTTTGTATGGATAGATAAATGTGTATTCAGATCTATTGCTTACGGATGTACGTATGAAATAATTCCAGTTTCGATGGGTAGCTGAAAATATAGATGGATACA